TTAATAGCTTTTATTTCATACTGGTATCTTAACTACTACATAACATTTTTGTTTTAAACAAAATAAACAACGTCTGAATTCCCGCTGTCATTGGCAACGGGAATTCGAGGCTACTTAATTCCCTCATGGCGGGGTTGACATAATCTTAACTAGATCACGTTAATTTTCAATGTTATCACACTTCGTTACATCGACACTAGCATTAAGATCGTTGCAATTTCCACCCATATCAAATTTGCAATGATTAAACGTGCAGTTCGCGAAAACAGAAGAAAGATGTTGGCTGCTACCAGTTACCATACAACCTATATCAGTCGTAACCGAAGTGGAAGCTTTTTCTGTAACTGTTGAAAAAATCCTCTTTTGAACATCCATTTTTCGCGGCATCGATTGATCAACGTAACTTTGAGCAACCTTTGAAGACTTCCAATCCCCATGCATTTGAAGACTGCACAAATCGCCCCCTCCTTCAATTAACGAAGTAGCAGAAGTTCTTCTATAGCAATGCCCCGTGTAACCAGAGGGATTCGACAACTTCAAAAATTTGGCAATTTCACAGGGTAATTTTGAAAATGAGTTCTTCCCCACTGGTTGCGTAGTGCACCTTTCATTGCGATAATTCAAAAAGAATCTGTTGTGTGGAACGTTGGGAGGGCGCAATTTGATGTAAGCTCTAAGAATACCAAGACAATCCACCGCAGTCTCATCAATAACAGTAAAATAACGATCTTTGTGAGTTTTTGTATCCACCAAATTTACGACGAAAACAGTTCCTCTATCCTCAACATCACCAACCATTAAATTTACTAGCTCGCATGTCCGACAACAACCAGCTATTCCCAATACAGTTACCACCTAAAAACGGTTAAATCAACCAAAAAACGTGGAAATATTTTTGATTGCACTCACCTTCACGAATAAATATTTTTCATCGGGGGCGCGCTGGAGGAATTCGATTACTTGTTCTCGACTCAACACCTGTGACTTCTTTGGTTTATATCCTACATTTTTCGCTTTTAAAAACGAAATCAAGATACCATACTTAGAAATGTCAATCTTTTCATGCAAACGCAGCATCGCTCTCACCATAGAATAATACGTCCACAGGCAGGATGGTTTACATATCTTGGATCGTTCCGAAAAATAGGCAAGAAGAGCTTTTTCAGAAGCTCCTGTTACATTTTTTTCTCGTCGCCACGTGCAAAACCGGTCAAATTCCTTCTTATATGCCTTTTTAGATTTTATGGGAACCAAACACTCTTCAGCCTGCGCAATTTCACTGAGAACATCCTCAGAAAAGTTTTCCTCAAATTCCATGGGATCTTCCAAATCGTAAACTCGGAAATTCGAAGAATAGGTAAACTCAATTAACGTATTTATTTTAACGTCAAACAAATACATCACCAAGACAACGATGCAACACCCACTATTCGAAAATTTTATTCATCATTTTATCATTTTATTCTTTTCCTATTCGTTTCAATATTTAAAACCAGTATGAAATAAAACTATGAATGCATCACGTGAATTAAATTGCGGCAAATTCCCTTGAGAAACTAATTCTCTCGGCCTACGGCCTCGAGAATTACATGTTTCTCGCGGGTATTCACCGCATCTTAATTCCCTTGATACATTAATAGCTATTTATTTTTTATTGATAATTTACATGGTGGTTAAAATATTAGTCTATAGCCACATAAACCCCGCTGTCATAACAACGGGAGTTATAAAATCTAATCTCCTCTGTCAGAACAATAGGACTTTGACAATTAATTGACAATTACGGTAAAGTGAAACACAAAGGTTAGCTGTCAATCGGGTAATATAACAGTCAAAACCTACAGAAGGAACGAGAATGACATTTCATAGACGGTAACCATGTTATATTTCTTAAAATGGTCTTCTTTCACGATACTTAACTTCATTCATTTTGTAGATTGTGATACAGATCCATTGTCGTAGCAATTGTGTGTAAAACAACATTTTGAAATACATCTAGGTACTTTTCAGATTTCCTTTAGACAGTGAATGGCGAATTTTAGACTTCTTGGGCTTAAAACCCTG